CTCTTGGGTTCTGTAAAGTGTAGGGACCAATTCTCACAACACACTTAACCTGATTGTTGACTTAACCCATTTTGGGAGTTTATATAAGTACCGTACACTGAAACATAAACCAATCAAATGGCTTGTGTCCATACGCAACATAAGAAGATACAAAAAACAAACCAGGGTTAAAACTAATCAGTTTAGCATATTGAACAAATGCATTTACTTGGTCAGGTAAAGAATACTGTATTGTGTGAACACGGCCAGTACATTCTGAAATTGTTCTTTCTCCCTCAAATGCACAGCATAAATGCCATTCTCCTTTCCTTCTTAGATCCACTGCTATATTGTCACAATACTCCTGTGAGGTAGGACAAGTTAAAAATAAGGACAGGTCTAAGGATACCCAGTGGATGAGTTTGCAAAGGTGCCAAACTAAGCCCAAATTAATAGTTTATAGTTCAACATGTTGCAGAAACTAATGTCTAGGTCTGATCTGGAAACCAGGCATCACATTAAGTATATTTATTTGGGCATAGTAGTTCATGCAAATACAGCTACTGTGCTTAGTTAAACTGGGTTTAACACATTTTGTGAACCCAGCCATTGTGGTTTATAAACCATGATTGATGGCTTACCATGATGTATAAACTAAGTCACTGCTGTTAATTCAACAACCCATGGTTTAAAACATGGCTGAATGTGGTATGTGCAGGATATACACATCATGCTAAACCCAAACTAAGCAAATCACACTATTGCCTGGAGCAAGAGATCTTATCTACCTTTGACCAGAAGGCAAAATAACCTTCCCACTACCTTCTCTTGCTTCCTTAGATGCTTTCTGCGACCTCTGATTACCCGTGTCATTTTTTCCACGCAGGAGAGAACACTTCCAAACTGCGTCCTGCATTTCCCCATCCTTTCATTTTCTAAGGATGCCTCGGCGTCTCACACAAGATGTGCACCCAAACCAACCGTGTTATAGCTTAATGTATTCTGTGCATTGCTTGTGTCTGGTGGCCCAAGGCAGAAGCGAATTTATTTTTGCTTAGATGCATGCAAGTTATGGGGAAGGGAAAATGGGACCCTGAGGGGAGGCAGATGAAGGGGGTGGCCGTGTGGGGCCTGGCAGGACCCCCTTCGTGTGTGTACAGAGAGATACAGATTAGATTGTTTGTTTTCACCGGAGAACTGGGGGGTTTATAATCCAAGAGAATAAATTCTTGGCATATTTCTTGGAGGGATGTTGCTGAGTTTTATTTACCGACTCCAGTGCTGAAGCTGGTTAAGTGGAGAGTGGAAGAGGAGACCAGGTAAACTTCCATACCAAAGGGACCTTTTTGGAAGAACGGTTGTCTGTTTTTGTGACACTGAGCATGGGAGTAATCACGTGTTTCAGTGACTCAGCAAACACCTAACTTTGATCCAGGAACCTGGGTACACAAGGAAGACAACAGTTGCATTTTTTTTAAAAGGCACCACTCTAAACTATGTACACAGTGGCCGCATGAGGTATTAACCCTTGCTTTATGCTCAGAGGTGACCTGACATGTCATTTCTTCCCATCTCCCCTCCAAACGTGCACATTGCTTAGAAAGGTCCAGCTGTATTATTAAGTTGCAACAGCAGCAACCCAAGAATTTTGTGACTCTATCAGTGACTAATATATTCATTGCGACAGGATGTTTTGTTTGCTGGTTTTTATGTGAGGTAGTTGGGAGGTGACAAATGATGCCGGAGGTTAATTGAGTTAATTCTTATATGGCATAACAGATACTGGAGGTAAATAGCCAAGAGTTGCTCTCTCTTATTTAAATAAGAACAATGCTTAGAAAGTATCTAGTATGGGAGATGATAGATAGATAGATAGATAGATAGATAGATAGATAGATAGATAGATAGATAGTATTTTGCTCCAGAAAGCTTCAGTGAAGTCAAAAAAACAGAAGGTGTTGCACCCCAATATTTGTCAGTTTCTACCACAACGGTTCATTCCAGCTTCTTATTTAACATTTATTACCATTCTGAAATTTTGCAAAGCTTTCACCCTAGCTAGAATGGACGCATTGCCCTCAGCAGTCCTTTTTGGACGTTTTAAGGGCATTCCCATGCACCTTCGATCATGTCCATGTGGAGATGGCTCAATAAAAACATTAAGCCAGTGTTGTCCAAACTTGGCCACTTTAAGATGAGTGGACTTCAACTCCCAGA